TGGCATGGTGGTTGTGGCGCTGGACACTCCCACATGGCCGACTATGGTTTGAGGTCCGGACCTGGTGGCTTGCTTCCTCACTTTTCTTCTCGCTCTGTGTCTCTCTCTGGTCAAATTAAAATAACTGAATGAATAAATAAATAATTCTGAAACTAAAATCTTAAAAGAATTGTTCACAAACCAGATCAAGGACTGGTTTGTAAATAAAAATTTAGAAAAAAATTATAGAAGAAAACCTTTAGGACCTATGGCTCAGTAGAATTTTAAGACTTGACATTCAAAACACCCACCCATAATAGGAAAAACTGATAAACTGGACTTCATCAAAACTTAAAGCCTTAGCTCTGTAAAAGTCCCTGCGAAGATGAGAAGAGAAACTATAGAGTGGGAGAAGAAATGTGCAAACCGCATATCTAACAAAATCCTTGTATTTCAAATATAGAAAGAAATCTGAAAACAAAATGATCCAGTTCCGCGTTCTGCAGCCCGGGCCATCAATAACTCTTCTGGAAGACAAGTGTATATAGTAGAGATAGTGTAATGGGAGAGGGGGAAAGGGCAGAGGGTCAAACATAGGATAAAAAACATATATATACGTATACATATGTAGGAAAGTAGAAATGGAATATTATTGATGATAACATACTTGATTAAGCCACTATGCAGTTTATCCTAGATGGGAAACCACATTTAGTACGTTGTGATGATGCTCAGGGAATGACTGTTAGGTAATATTTAAAAAAAAAAAAAAAAAAAAAGTTGCAGGAGACTCACTGGGGTTTATGCCTAAAGTCAGACTTGGGTTCGTGTATAGGTATGTGTCAGCTGTGCTAGCTATTGGATATATTTAGACTAATTAAGTTCATTGGCAGAACAATTGAATGGGGGGGAAGGCATGGAGGGCAACCATGGATGCCAGGGACAATGTGAGAGGAGGATGGGACATAGCAGAGGGTGGGGGATGGGTAATCAAGGATGGCAAAACAAAAGGCAAGGTATGCAGGACATAAGAATTGGAAAATTATTTGCTGAGAACATGTATGTGGATGTGCTTGATTGAGCCAATGCGCAGTGTATTTTGGATGGAAAACTCATTTGTGTGTTGTGATGGTGTATAGTGAATTAATGTAGAGAATGAATAAATAAAAAAAAAAAAAAACGATCCTACTAGAAAAATTGGCCAAAAGGCACAGACAGTTCATAGGCTATACAGACAGCAAATAAGTAATGAGATTTTCAACATCGTTAGCCACTAGGGCATGCAAATGAAGGTCACAATGAGACACTGCTTCGCACCTATCAGAATGGCTAAATAAAATATAACACTGGATACTGGCCAGGAGGTGGAGACCCTAGATACTGATACGCCACTAGTGGGAATGGGACAGAGTACAGCCACTTTGGAAATGGGCACATTTCTTATAAAATTAACTACGTCGTTTCCACAGGACACAGCGATTACATTGTGGGACTCGTGCTGAAGAACAGAGGAAACACATTTACACAAAAGCTTGTACGCGAGCGTTCATAGCAGCTTTATTTGTAAGAGCCCCAAGCGTGAAGCAGTTCAGACGTCCCTCGATGTGTGAATGGTTGAACTGTGGGTCAGCTATACCACGGAATCTTAGCAATAAACGGAAATGAACATACACCCAATCACCTACTTGAATCTTGAATTATGTATAGTGAAAAAAGTCAACCTAAAAAGGTTATATACTTCATGATTCCATTTATACAACTTTTTTTTTAACCGCCAGGGGGTGCATGTGCTCCCTGGAGAGAGACAGGGAGAGCGAGGACAAAACAAGGAGAAAGCACCTCCCCAATAGGTCGTGGTCACACCACAGTCCCTTCTCCTCCGTATCTCCATCAGAATTTGGGGCGCACGTGCACCTGGCATGATTTTTAAGCCACCGGGCAGGAAACTGAACTGCAGTCGGCCACGTGGTCTCCAGCTCCCTTTAACGACTAGGCTAGAGGACAGCCTACGTAGCTTTCTTTAAATAAAATGACAAGGATGGACAGAGAATAGTGGTTTCCAGGAGGTAGGAACGGGGACGAGGAGGGTGCTGGGTGTGGTGTAGAGAGGCAGCAGGAGGGAGAACTGTGTGATGCAACTGTTACCCTGTGGTGGTTGCACAAATCTATACGTGTGGCAAAAACGCACAGAACCACAGCACGAAGAACGGTGAAACCTGAGCCCTGCGGAGCGCACCCACGTACAGGTCCCAGTGTGGGTACTGTTCAGTCGTGCAGGGTGCTAGCACTGGGGAACTGGAGGATAAGCACACAGGACCTCTCTGCATTTTTTTTGCAACATTCTATGAATCTATAACTATTTCAAAATGAATGATTAGAGATGCATACTGACACATTATCAGATTAAAGAAGTCTGGGATTTGCTTTAAAAAAAAATACTCCAGGAAGAAAATAAAAGGAGAAAGAAGTGGGCAGAATGAATAAAACAAGTGACAGGATGTTTGTTAAGTGCCGAAACTGGGGGAGAGACATATAGGCGTTCACATACTTTAATAGGGGCCAGCAGATGGCACAGTGGTTATGTGGCTGGACTCCCACATGGCAGACTGCGGTTTGAATCCCAGACTTGGCGACTTAAAACTCACACCAGGCACATGTTCGTGTGTGCCCGCGATCCCGGGAGGAGAATGGACAAGTTAATGTGGCATGGCCATCCCTGCTGGGGGCCGATTTCTCGCTTTCTCTCTCACTGTCTCTGTCTCTCCAGCAAGAACACACGCCCTAAGGCAAAAACTTCTTCAAAAAAATGTTCGAAATAGAAGTTTTCCAAAGTGCATAGGGACATTTAGTCCAAGAGAAGGGGCTTTATTCGTCTCTCCATAGCCTTGCTCATTGCTGCAGCTTTCAAACATGAATTGTGTTCAAAGCTTATAGTTCTGTTTCACAAAGTTTTTATTATGATTTTTATTATGGGCTTTTCAGGAATCACATTTTTAATTTGGCTCTGTTTATTATTTTTCTTTCCCTCCAAGAAGTCCCCCAAAGTTATAAAAAATAGAAATTTATAAATATACATTGAGAACCGTGCAGTTTTTACACATCCACAGCAATCGGGTCAGTATTTCGGTTGTCTGACTATTCCCGTGTCTCTCGTCTGGAACAGACTCCCAGCAGTACGACCTCTGAAATCTCAACGGCAGAAACAGCAGCCCCTTCCAGACCTCCCCTTACCCCGAGCACATCCAGCAGGTGTTGGTTGGGGAGAGTAACAGCGAAGGAGGGACGGCAGAAACGCGCACTGCAGTGACCGCGCCATGAGACGGCAAGCGAGGGCCCGAAGTCACCGACTGCGAGGCGCACGCGAACTCCTGTCAACTGAAGGAGTTCCGGATCATCGCAAACCTGAGAAACTCCGATTTGGTCCAGGGTTGGCAATCCAAGTTTTCACCAGCATCCCCTCTTCAGGTCCCAACCAGCAGCTCTTTCCTTCCAGGCGAAGGGACAGACTGCCCTCGAGAACAGCAAGGCCAGAGGAACACAGAGCCTGCTGCCAAGTCGCCCTGTTTCTTGAGTGTTCGGATTCATGAAGGAAACGGCTAAGAGATGGCTGTGGGGGCACACGTGGCTACATGCGGACTTGGGATGCGAGCCTACGGAACAGCTCATTTATCCTGCGTCCCCAGGTGTGGCTGGCATGCCTCTTCTTCGGATTTGGTTTTATGATCTCTTCCTTCGGAGACCAGCCAAAGGTTATGAGCTTGCCCAGCATCCTCCTTAAAGGCCAGGCTTCTGGTTTGGAGGGTACACAACGATGGAGTCTCTCTCCAGCGGGTGAAGAGGTTGAACGGACTGAGACTGCTGCTGGGAGACCACCTCGGCATGGCCTGCGGGTTCGCCTCACATCCGCCACAGGTGGGAACATGGCCTTCTGTCCACCTCAAGCTTCCCGCAGACCAGCCAGGTCACTCAGCTTTCAGAAGACAAGGCCCAGCCCAACCAGTCCTTCCCTACTGTGTCAAGTCTGCGGCCCTCCAGCAGGTCACAGTATAATATAATAAACACTCTAGCTCCTGCCTAGAAAAGCCTTCCCCTGGGGCAGGACCTGGGAGTTCTCAGGCACGAGTCCCAGAGGGCAGTGAACAGTAACTCTCTCAGGGAAAGGGCGGTCCTGCTTTAGGTCCTACCCAGTGATCGGCGGGGCCCTGACATGTCCCTCCCCGTCTGAATGGACCTGCTCTCCTCTCCGCCAGCCCTACCTCACAGCTGGGGATGTGGGGGCCTCCTGCTTCCAATGTGGTGAAGGAACAAAGTCACTGTCCCTCAGCTCAAAAGGGCACCAGGGGCCGGGTAAGGACAGAAGGAAGCAGAGTTTCCGGAGTGATAAATGGGTACCATAAGTTATCTGAGTCAATAAAAGGGATCCAGGGCTAGCTCTGTGGCCTGATGGCTAAGGCAGCTGGATCCCACACAGCCGACCACGTGGTTCAAGCCTCCAACCCAGCAGCCCTTGAACATGCGGAAGGTGTGTACATGCGTGCCCCATGTCCCGACAGAGCGAAGAAATGGAGTAGGGCCTGTGGCATGGCTGTTCCCCAGGGGAGATTCCTTCTCCTTCTCCCTCTGTCTGTCTGTGCAAGAGCATCTGCCCTCTGACAAATTAAAACAAAAAAGGGGGGGGACCCAGATACCCTAAAATAGACGCTGGGCAAACAGTCTTCCCGGGGGACAGCAGAGAACCCTTTTTTCCTGCCGCTGTCCCTGGCCTGCTGGGTGTCAAAGGAATGAAGTGGTAACACCAGAAGTCACGGGCTGCCGACCCCACGGGAAAGCCTCGAGTCCACCGAGCTTCCTCAACCCAACATCCAGTGAAAGCAGGGAAACGGCACGGAAGGTCTGCTATAAAACCATGCGCGATCGCACGCCGCAGCCGTGGCTCAGCCAGGAGGAGGTCGCCCTCTCTTCTTCCCCGACAGAGTGGGTCCGCGTCCCT